ACACACACACACACACACACACACACCTCAGCTCGGGCCCCCATCCCCCAGGGCAGGCGGGCACACACACACACACACACACACACACCACAGCCCTGGCCCCTCCCCCAGGGCGGGCGGGCACACACACACACACACACACACACACACACACACCCCACAGCCCTGGCCCCCTCCCCCAGGGCGGGCACATACACATACACACACACCCCACAGCCCTGGCCCCCTCCCCCAGGGCGGGCCAAGCTTTCCCCAGGGAACGGGCGGGCGGGGCGGGTTCCCACGCCAGGTGACAGGTGATATACGGCTGGTGGCCCAGCGCCCCCGCGGGCTCCCGCTGTTAGGGCTCCCCCCATGCCCGCTGAGCAAACAGCCTGCCACCGGAGGGAGGGTTGGGTGGGCAGCGGGTGGTGGGGGTCAAAGTCCTGGGAACGGCCCCCACCCCATCGCAGGGCCGGGCAGCCGCCCTGAGCCTGACCGTGACCCTGACCCCGCCCACAGCCGGGACTGCCCCATCTTCTACATGCGCAAGAAGGTGCGCAAGGACCTGGAGGACCAGGAGCAGCTTCTGAGACGCTTTGGCCCTCCTGGCCCTGAGGCCTGGTGACCTCCGACCTCGGCAGGCTTCCTCCGAGGGCCTTGGCGGGGGGTGGGGGGGGCGGATTGGTGGAGAAATAATAAAGTTGGGGCTTTTTGTTCCCTGGTGTCTTGTGGTCTGTGTGCACAAGGTCTCCTGTCATGAACCCCGGCCCCAGTAGGTCACTTCCACTCAGCCGGATCCCCTGACCCCCAGGAAGCCCCCGCTGACTCCTCCCCTTCCCTCCCAGAACCCCTGGGCTGCCAGCCCCACAAGAGGCAGGCCTGCCTCAGTCTCCCCCTGGGACCCTCCCTCACGGGCCTGAGTGAACATCTAACCACACATCCTCTGCCTGGACCGCCCGCCCTCCAGGTGCCGACCTGTTCCCTCCAGGCCTGGGGCAGCCCCCGGCCCGGAAGCTCCCACTGCCCAGCACAACCCAGGGGAGCCCCCTCCCGTGTCGCACACCCACAGTGTTTCCACCTCAGGGTCCTCGCAGGCTCTGGGCCTGGATTTTCCTCTCCCCGCAGTTCACATCCACTCCTGAGAGTCCCGGCAGCCCCGCCACGCCTTCAGACCCCATCAGTGCCTGAGCCTGTCACTCAGGGTCGTGTGCCCCCCACACCCCCCTGGTTCCTGGGTCCAAAGCCACCACCGCCCCCCCCACCTTTTACTGACCTCAGGAACCCTTGGCTTCTCTACTTTCTTCGGATCCCCCCAAATCCAGCTCCTCTCCCATCTCCCCCAGAGGGGTCGGCCCCCCATTCCCACCCCAACTGTGGGGATCCCCAAATCCAGATGGCCCCTGGGCCTGCCCTCTGTACCACGTGACCGAGGGGTTGTGCAATCCAGCCCCCTCCCCTGACCCTCCCCAAGGGGATTTTCGAGGAGGGCTGTGCTCTGTGCGGGCCTGGCCGGCACCCCTGCCCCCCCCAAGGGGCCGGGCCAAGGTATAAATAGGGGTGGCGGCTGCAGCAGGCAGCAAACCAGCCCGGCTCCAGCATGCTTGCCCTGGAGGCTGCACAGTAAGTGGGGGGAGGAGGACCCCTGCACTTGGGACCCCTGCCCGGCACTGCCTTCCAGGGGGCAAGTGGGTGGGAGGGAGGGGCTGCAACCTGCCTCTTGCCCCTTCTAGATTTGTTTTCCTTTCCCGTCTCCACTTCCTTCCTCCATCCTATCTATCCCTGCCTCTCTGGGACCTCGAAAATCTCCTTGGGACACTTGCTGGTCTCCCCTCCCACCGACAGCCTCTACCGGGGGGTCTCCCCAGGTCTGTCCGGTCCCCAACGGGCCTCACTGCCCGTTGCCGCATCATTTTTGTTCCTGGGACTCTATTCTCTGCCTCTTGCTCCCTCTCTGTCTCTGTCTCTGTGTCTTTGTCTTCTTCTGTCTGTCTTCTCTCCTACTGTCTCACTGTCTGTCCCCCAGCCCCATCTCTCTCTCTCCAGGGCTCATAACCACTTCCTGCATCCATGAATGTTTCTCTCCACACCTTCCTCCCTTCCCACCTCTCATCTCCTTCCCTTCTCTGCCCAGCCGCTCTCCGCTTCTCCTCTGGTCCAAGATGGACCCATTTAACTGACTCGCTGACGGAGGCCCCCTCCCCACCCCCACCTGGGCACTGACACCCACAGAGCCTCTCCAGGGACTTTCTCTCCCTCACTTTCCCTGCCCCCAACCAACCTCTGTCTATGCAAATTCCAGGGGAGGGGGGACATTTGCCTGCCCCCCCACCCCCCACTTCCTGCCCCGCTTGAGTGTGGTGGGGCTGGTCTCACACAAGGACACACAGCAGAAGAGCTGTGGTGGTCACAGCTGCAGCACCCTCCCCCCCACCCCCCATCGGCTCCCAACCACTCGGGAGATTCAGGTGGCTGAAGGCGCCCCTGACATGCCCCTGTGTGTCTCCTCCTCCAGGCACGACGGGCCACACTTCAGCTGTCTGGTGAGTTGGGGCCCTGGGGGCCAGGGAGGGTGGGGGACCCAAGCGGCCCACCTTGACCTCCCTGCCTCAGTTTCCCCTTCCACTCCTTCCTGTCACTCTGTCTTTCTGACTCTCCCTCCATATCTCCACCAGCACCTCCACCTCACCTGGCCCCTCCCTGCCCCATCTGTTCCACGGAAGTTTTCCTGAAGTCTCTTTCCAGCTCTCAGTTTCTTGGGCCACTTCCTGGCGCGAGGACGGATGGGGGGGGCGTCCCACATTCAGCAAACCTATTTACGCCTTCTCTCCTTCTTGGCTTTGCTAAATTGTATTTCCGAAAATGTGTTCTGTAATATTTCCGACACACAGAAGACTATACTCCCCACCCCGTCACCCACAGCCCAGTCCAAAAAGGAAAACCTCACTCATGGGCTTGAAAATAAATGTCATGTCAGGCATTGTTTTTTGTTGCGTTTTAAGTAAGCTCTACCCCCAACACGGGGCTTGAACTCACGACCCTAGAGCAAGTGTCGCATGCTCTAAGGCTCTAGCGACTGAGTCAGCCGGGTGCCCCAGCACTGGCTCTTCTTCCTTGCTGCATAGTACTCTGCTGGAGGACACCCCCCCCACCACACACACACCTGTTCATCCATTCTGTCCGTGGCAGTGGGCTGGTTCTTGCTGGGAGCTATTTGAAAAGCTGCTCTGAATGTTCCTCATCAAGGCTATTTTGTGGACATAACACTGTCAGTCCCCTGGGGGACTACCTAGGCTCAACACTGCTGCTACATTGGGATGGCACGTGTCCAGCTTTGGTCTTCACTGTCATTGCTAAAGCAACATGTGATTCTTGGGAGGGATCAAAGTGATATGGAGGCGGAATAAAAGAAGCATCGAGGCTTTCTTTGCCTCTGTACAAACACTTCCGGCACTGGGACAGGCAAGCCTGGGGGAATTCTTCCACACTTGCCCCAGGTGTTGGGGTTCCTGGGAGCCCACAGTCTTTGGAGGGTGTTGGCTATTGTGTGCCTCTCCGAGACCCTGCGTCTCTGTGTTTCTGTGCGTCTCCGCCTGTATCTTTCGTTCTGTGTGTTGTGTTTGTATCATTCTGGGTGTTTCTGCTGCGCTGCGTCTGTTCCCTCTTCCTGCATCCCTGCGTGTCTCTCTCTGCCCCTGTCTCTGGGGCCTGGTCTCTGTGTCTCTTGTGTGTTTCTTTCTCTTTCTCCCAGCCTCTTCCTTCTTCTCTCCTGTCCCTGTCAGAATCTTCCTGCTGGCCCAGAATGGGGGTTGGGGGCTCCCCAAAGGCTGGGATGACCCCTCTTCTTCCCCACCCCTCGACCCCATCAGTACCCAGATGGCGTCTTCTATGACCTGGACAGCTGCAAGCACCCCAGCTACCCTGACTCAGAGGGGGCTTCTGGTGAGTGGCCCTGCCCTAGCCAACCTCCTGACCTGAACCTTGGGCCCATTTCACAGATGGGGGAGCTGAGTCCCGGGGGAGGATGTCACCTAGTTCGGCAGGATAAGGTTAGCCCCGGGTCTCCAGGCCTCCTCCCCTTCCCTCTCTCACCCAGCCTCTTGCTCATGCAAATTCTGGGGGCTGAGATTTGCATGGCCCACAATGGCTCCTCTGTGCAGGGGGCTTCAAGTGGGAGGGGCTGAGGCCAGACTTGGCTTCTGACTCCACACCCTCCCCCAGACTCCCTGTGGGGCTGGGACCTGAGTCCCGCTGTCCCAGCCGCCTCCTACGAAGCCTTCAACCCAGCTGTGGCCAACTTCAGCCACCCCCAGGGTGTCCAGCTCTGTTATGGACCCTCGACCTACAGCCCCGTGGGGAGCCTCGACCCAGCGGCCCCCAGCCTAGAGGCCCCCGGGCCCAGCTTCCCAGCGTACCCCACAGAGGAATTCACCAGCCAGGTGAGGAGCTGGGACACACTTAGCATCCCCATGATTTGACTGAGGTCCAGGAGGTGCCAGGCGGTGTGTGAAGCCCTCTGACAAACCTCTGAGGTGAAGTCATTACTCGCCCTTATTACTCCATTGCACAAACCAGCCAACAGAGGCACGGACTTTGACCCAGGGGCAGTGCAGAATGCCATTAGCGGTGATGGGCACGCTTCCACGGAGGTGGCCCTGGGCATCCTTGGCCATGCCTTGGAGATCTGAACCGAGGCCAAAGTGCAGGCTGTCAAGAGAGTGGGGGGTGAGGGGCACAGTGGAAACCCAGGAGGAGGAAGGTGAGGGAAGAGAGCAGAGGGAGGGAGGGAAGGGGGAGGTCCCTGGCCTGCAGGTGATCCTGACCTTTTGCAGACCGTGGCCCCCCCGGCGTACGCCCCATACCCCAGCCCTGTACTGTCGGAGGAAGAGGGTCTCCTGCTGGACAGTCCCACCCTGGAGGTTTCAGACAGCGAGTCCGACGAGGCCCTCATGGCTGGCCCCGAGGGGAGGGGATCTGAGGCAGGTATGTAGGAGTAAGTGGGGTTAGGGGGGGCCCCAAACAAAGATGGGGAGGGGGCCGAAGGAATCATGGCTTCCCAAGCACTTACTGCATCCTACGCGCTGAGGGCACTTCCCGGGTCCACCCTTGGCTGCTGTGTGGCCCTGGGCAGATGACTCTAGCTCTCTCTGCCTCAGCTTCCTATCTACAATGGGGATGGCAGTGTTTCTTGCTGGTGGTCGAGAGATTAAGTGGGACAATGCAGGTGACTGAGAGCAGCATTTGGCTCAGTTAAGTCTTCACGCTTATTATCGACACAATAGCAACAGAAATAACCACATCAACACCCGGCTATTCAACCCCTGCTTCTGTGCAGGCGCCTGTATTATGCTCAACTCCTGGGAAGTTAGGATCATTAGCTACTTTCCCTATCTGGGTCTCAGTTTCCTATCTGTAAAATGGGCAGCAGCAGCGGCCCCATTTCCCGGTGTTATAATGATTAAATGAGCTCACAGCACTAAGTGCTTCACAAAGTTTTGTAAAAGTAACACACACACACACACACACACACACACACACACACACACACACACACAGCTCATTTATAGCTGAGGAGGCTCCAGCTCAGAGAGAGGTTAAGTCACCACCTCAAGGTTACTTCTGGAAAGTGGCAGGAGGCCAAACCTGGGGTTCCTGTACCCAGTGCCCTGCTCTGAACCACCCCCCTCTCTAGCTTTTGGGGAGCCCTTGCTGCTGGTAGGCGCCCACGAGTCAGACCCCCTGGTCTCTTCCAGGATCCCAGTCCCCCAGGGGCTGAGAAACGGCTAGGTGAATTCAAACCTACTCCAGATCGCTTCGCCACTAGTCAGCACCCGGTTTATATAAGTCTTTGAGGGACGCTGTCGGCCCATTTCACAGATTCTCTCATCCATACGCGGGACACATACGTATTCCTATGTGCTGGCCACCAGCAAAGCAGAGGGTAGCCGGATATCTTGAAAGATAAAGCAAGGAGGGGGGGATGGGGGTTCCGGGGTAACAGCTTCAGGGAGGAGAGCAGCTTGCCTGTGGTGGGCGGGGACGCGACACTGGGGACACCTCCCTCGCTCCAATTGTCTTGGCCTGGAGACAGGCTTGCTGGGGCCCTGGGTGGGTGTGGGGGCGGGGCCCAAAGGATCGCTCCCCTAACGCCCCCCGCCCCCCACCCCCGCAGGGGCCCGCAAGAAGCTCCGCCTGTACCAGTTCCTGCTGGGGCTCCTGACGCGCGGAGACATGCGCCACTGCGTGTGGTGGGTGGAGCCGGGCGCCGGGGTCTTCCAATTCTCCTCCAAGCACAAGGAGCTCCTGGCGCGCCGCTGGGGCCAACAGAAGGGCAACCGCAAGCGCATGACCTACCAGAAGCTGGCGCGCGCTCTACGCAACTACGCCAAGACCGGCGAGATCCGCAAGGTCAAGCGCAAGCTCACCTACCAGTTTGACAGTGCGCTGCTGCCGGCCGCCCGCCGGGCCTGAGCCCAGTGGGGGCTGCGAGGGGCTTCGCGCCTGTGCCGCGTTGGCGTCCCCACACCCTAGGTCATAGCACCCGTGGGTTCCCCACACTGGGGGGAGGGGGGGACTGCCATAATCCCTAAGCCCTGACCAGGGCCCCTCTGGGACCACCCCCCTCCCCATCGTGTCTGGGGCCCCTCTGGGATTTCCTTGTCATGTCCAGGATCCCTAGGATCCTCATGTCTGGGTTACGTGACCCATAGAGGACTGTGCTGTGTGTCCGTGTGGAGGGGAGGGGGAGGACAGTGCTTCCAGATCTCCAAGAGCTTCTCTGGGATCCCCTCGTGGTGTCTGAGATCCTCCAACCAAACCTGGGACCTCTCTGAGCTCTCTTGTGTGGCTGAGATCCCTCAATCTCATCTGGGGAGGGAGAGCCCACGGACCATCACGAGGCCGGGAGGGTACCCTGTCCAGGGTCTCTCTGGAATCCCTTTCTTCTGTCTGGGGCCCTCCTGTCAGATCTGACGTCTCCTACTTAGGTCTGGGGGACTTCCAGAAACCCTTTATCAAGTCTCAGCTCCCTGGGCCCCTCTGTGACTCTCTTGTCCTATCCGTCCCCCTAAATGATGACCTTTGTCATCTTGCAATTTCCTAATTCTCTGGAACCACCGTGCTGTCACTTTCTTGTGTCTGGAATTCTCCAATCGCATTGAGGGTGGCTCTGGGATCCTTTGGTCATGTCTAAAAACATCCTTGTCAGGCTTAGGGGGGGACCTCAGTGAACCCTTGTCTTGCCCAGGCTGCCTCTGGGATCCTCCAGTCACATCAGGGCCTCCCTGGGATCCCCTATCTGCTGTGCCCCTTTGGGGACCCCACCCGCAGACCTGAGTTCTCACAGGGCCCCTCCCCTTCCTGGGATGCCCTCTGTAGGGGCCAAGCTAGCGATCATTCTGGCCCCTCAACTGATTTCTGGGTGACCTTGGCAGCCCCCTCCATGTCATCTCTAACCAGAGGTCACAAGTTGGTACCCCCCCCACCCCCACCCTTCCGGCTCCCTTTGGGGTAAGTCAGATCTCTGGTGGTGGTTTCTTTAGTTCAGTGCAGCAGTGAGGGGGATTTTGCATGATCCTTCACTTAAAACTTTGCGCAGTGCAGCACCTGGCAGCACCGGGCCGCTCTGTGGTGCAGGGGGGCTGGAGGAAGGTGGCAGCCATCCTAATGGTGCATGTTCCCCAATCTTCCCCAGTCCCTGCCGCCCCTGGTGGCTTCTCTCAGTTGCCTGTTGGCCCCCAACCATTTGCATTTCGCTCCCTGGTGTGACCCCCGAGATGTGAAGCTTGGGTGCACTGTGGGAGCTCTGATTGGAACCCCTGGGGGTGTCACACACAGCCTGTGGGCTAGGACGCCAGAGTCCCAGGTCTTGGAGGCTTCGTGGCTGGGGAAACTAGGGTGGAAGACTTGCTGCTTCTGGGCCTCAGTGTGGCCCTTGTGTGAAAGGGGAGAGAAGGAGGAAGGTAGAAAAAGTCCCTTGCAGTCGTGCTGAGCCTTTGATACATCTCCTGGAAATCTACCCCACCAATCATTCATTCACTGACGTCCAGGAGGAGGCGGAGGACAAGGAAGGAGCTTCAAGGATCCAGAGAGGGAAGAGGTCCCTATGGGACACACAGCTGCTGGTAGCAGGGCCCAGGCTGGCACCTGCCCTCAAAACGTCGGCCGCCCCCTCCTGGAATGGGGGCAGCGTGGGAGGCGAGTGCTAGGGACAAAATGTCCCCAGGGCCTCCTCTTGCAAATGAGGTATCTTTTGCAAAAACTATCATCTACCACCCCCAAAATGTGGAAAAAAATAAAATAAAACAAATCAAGGTAGACAGACCTCCTAGGACCCTTTGTTAAGGTGTCCGCCTAGGCCTGCTGACCTTCAGAGACGCTGGCGAAGTGGAAGATAAGAGAAGCCATAGAAGAGGCAGTGAGAGCTGGACCAGGCTGAGCTTTGAAGTCCGCGATAAAGGGCTTGAGATGCAAGCGCTGGTGGTTCGGTTCAATTTTTCTCTCCCTCTCCCTCCCTCTCTCTGTTTTTAAGATTTTTATTTTTGTAAGTAATCTGTACCCCTAACGTGGGGCTCGAACTAACAACCCCCAGATCAAGAGCCGCCTGTTCTTCCGACTGAACCAGCCAGACGCCCCAGGTCTCCCTATTTTTGGACGATTGGAGTTCTCCCTGCGTCCCTTTCCATCAAGGTCTCTGTCTCTCCTGAATTTATGTCCTCCTCGGTATCTCTGCCCACTCACTGGATACAGCTCTCCGGCAGGCAGGGCAGGGCTGAAGGCTCCCGCGGACAGCGGCCCCCCCTTGGCACCTAGCTGGGTCCGCGGAGCGGTGTGGTAGTCTGCCTGGCAACCCGTGACGTCACATAGACCTCGCCTCCGGGTTGGCTTGGAGCTCCCCAGAGGCGGGGCAGTTTCCGGCTCGCCGGGGGTTTTGGAAAAGGGGGGAGGGGAGAGATGGACAGGAAGAAAAACCCGGAGCGACTTGTCTTCCCTCGAAACTCGCCCAGAGTTACTTCCCCTCCCGTCCTCCTCCTTAACCCCAATCCCCACACCGTCTCCCTCTCGCACTCACCTCGCCTTCCTCCCCATATCACCTACTGCCCCTTAAAGACCCTCGCCTCCCCCAGTCCTCTCCTCGTCTCCTTCACCTCCCCCCATCCGGCGTCCAGCCACACAGCCCCGTTCTGAAAGCCACAGGTCCCCCTGCCGGGAAGGGCGCCAGCGTCCGGGCAGCCCTCCAGGGCCTTCCCGGTCTCCCCACCCACCCTGCTGGGGGCACTCGCCCCCTCCCCCGCGTCCGGTGCCCGCCGCGCCCGCTTCGGGAACCGTCGCGGGCAACGGGCCGGGCGCGGTCCCAGGAGAGGCAGCGGACAGTCCGAGGTCCCAGGTGGCCGGGGCCCCAGGCCTTCGGATGTGCTCTCGGCCAGGGGCGGGACTCCAGAATCCCCAAGCCTCAGTGCCCTCCCTGCGGGCACAGAGACCTCCTCCTCACCCCCCCCACCAGCCTTCCTGCCTACGCTGGGAAACCCGACCCTCCCTCCCCGCTCCGGTTTCCCGAAAACTCCTGACTTGCAGATACTAAGAATGGCTTTCTAGACCTTCCTCCTTTGACCCATGGCCGAGTTCTGGCTCCGAGCCCTCACCCATTTTAGACCCCAGCCCCTTCCTCTCTCGCCTCCTAGGACTCAGGAGGGCAGGCCTTCATCCTCCTCCATTTTTTTCTAGACCCAAGAATCTGAGCCACCAGAAGTCCAGGCCCCCCAGGCCCTCCTCCCTCAGACTTGGGAGTCCTCGCCTCCAGCACTTCCTGGGACCCAGGTGTCTGAGCCCCACGCCCCTACCCTCCCCGGGCCTGGCACCCCACGGTCTCTCCTGGTCCAAATGTTATTTCTCGCCCTTTAGAACACGCAGACGGAATGTGGGGCAGCCAGGGAGGGTGTGGAGGGGAGTCTGGTGCCTCCCGGAGGCTCCTGGGAGTCTCTGGACTCCTTAAAGGGCTCCCCCTGGGGGCCCACCTGTCCTCCCTAGGGCCCTGAGGGACAAAGCTGCGGTCGGAGGAGCGAGAAGAAGTCCGCTGACATGCCTGAGGCGAAACCAGGTGGCTTTCAGAACTGCCCTCCCTTTGTGGAGATGCGGTCCTTTTCTGAATGGGGACTAAGGGCTCCTCTCTTTGTAGGTTTGGGAGAATGGGACTGTCTTCTCTGTGTTGCGTGGGGAGGGGTCCCTTCCTTGGGTGGGATGGGGGTCCCTTTCCCTGTGCAGTGAAGGTGTTCCTTTCTCTGTGGGGATTGGAGGGGGTGTCTCTGGGTGTAGATGGAGATTCTCTGAATTTGAGTCCTTTTTCTCCATGGGGATGGGAGGGCCGTGCATGTGGACTGGGGAGCCTGCATGGTGACTGGGGTTCACTACATTTGGGGTTGGGGTCCTCTCCACAGGGACCGGGGCCACTTCTCTGAGTGAGGACTGAGTCCTTCCTCTGCAGGGGAAAGAAGTCCTTGTACGTTTAGAGATTAGGGGTTCCTGTGTGCGTGGTGAGGAGAGCTCTGGTCTGTACGAGGGGGGAGGACCGGGAGGGGACCTCCTTTCTGTAGGAATGGGGGCTTCACCATGAAGGAGTTGGGGGGGCCTTCTCCATACTGGGGCCAGAGGCCCTTTGTGCAGTTGGGGGCCCTTCTATGAATGGCACTGGGGGCATTTGTTTATATGGAAATGAGCCTTTCTCTCTATGAAGAAGTGAACCGAAGAGACGCAAGCCCCTGGGAGGGACCCTCCTCCCGGGGCGTCCGGACCGCGGCACCAGGCCAGCGTGGCTGTGGCGCGGGGGTCCAGCCCCTCCCTGCAGCTAGCCAGGAGCCAGCAGGCAAGGGTGGCCGAAGGATGCTGTGGTCAGCACAGCTGTCCAGTGTCCAGCCCCGGGGCAAGAGCTAATTATACCCCTGGGACCCGAAAGGTCAGGGCCTGGTGGCTTGGGTGGATGGGACATGGCCTGCCCGGGGCAAGGGGAAACCTGATCATGCAGGATTAGAGATAAATTTACACCTGGAAGGGCCGGACTTCTGGGTCTGAGGGAGGAGGGGCCTGGACTCCTGGGTTCTGGAAGAAGAGGGCACCGAGCTCTTGCTCAACTGCGAACACCTTTCACCTCACAGCAGCCAAAAAGGCCCCCAAAGGCAAAGATGATGCCAAACCAGCCCCGAAGGAAGCGCCCGCTAAGGAGGAGCCTGCACAGCCCCCCAAAGGTGAGACGATGTTCCTATGGGGTCAGCAGAATGTGGCTCTTCGTCCCCCAGGCTCCCCTCGCCCGTCCGCACCCCCTGCCCTCTCTTTCCCTTCGGTCCTATCGCCTCCCCTGCTCCTGCTCCTCCGCGGCTCCCCAGTGGCCCCCAGGTTAGAGCCCAGCCCCTCAGCCTGGCCCTCGGGCCCCCAGGAATCCAGTCTACCGTCCTTCAGTTCACAGATGGGGAAACTGAGGCCCGAAGGGTGACACATGGTCCTTCCCAAGTCAGGAAGAGCCACTTTGCCCGGTGATCTTTGGCATCTGAGCAGAGGGTCCCTCACAGGCTCTAACCCCCGCTCCTTAAGTGCCCTGCTTCCCCTTCGTTAGCCCGCCTCAGACCCCCTAATCCTGTCTCCTGAGCAGAAGCCCCACCTGAGGACCAGTCTCCCGTTGCTGAGGAGCCCACTGGCATTTTCCTGAAGAAGCCGGACTCTGTGTCGGTGGAGAATGGTGAGAGGGTCTGAGGGAGGAGAGGCTGGGGCTCCCAACCTCAAGTCCTCCCCGTAGAATCTCACGGTTTCTGTCTGGCCACGCCTTCCCATCCTCTCCCCACCCCACCCCCCATCCCCCATCCAGGAAAAGACACAGTCATCGTGGCCAAGGTGAATGGCAAGGAGCTCCCCGGGAAACCAGCCATCAAGTGGTTCAAAGGGAAGTGGCTGGAGCTGGGCAGCAAGAGCGGGGCCCGATTCTCATTCAAGGAGTCCCACGACTCTGCCAGCAACGTGAGGACCCCGTGGGGACGCAAAGGCGTGTGGGCTAGGGATGGAGGTTGTGCGGGACAGAAGGAGAGGCTGTTTGGGTTAGGGCAGAGCACACTTGGGCGCAGTGTGTCCGTTTCCAGGAAGGTCTCAGGGGTGAGGGGTGCGGGTCCCCTAGGGACCAAGCTTGTCTAGGCATGGGAAGGGACAGTGGGTCCCTCCTGTGAGGCCAGGGTGAGGACCCGGAGAGGGAGTAGTGAGGTGGGCTCTTGCGGGGCCGGGGGGGCTGGGGAGCAGTAACGTGCACCCACACCTCTGGCCCTGGCCCCCAGGTATACACCTTGGAGCTGCACATTGGGAAGGTGGTAGTGGGGGACCGCGGGAATTACCGCCTTGAGGTCAAAGCCAAGGACGTCTGTGACAGCTGTTCCTTCAACATCGATGTGGAGGGTGCGCTGGTGAGGGGGTGGGGGGATCAAAGGGTTGCGTTCCGGCTGGGGCGGGTGTTTTGGCCTGGTGTAGGAGGGCATACAGATGTGGGGGTATGATTCGGGGGAGGAGGAAGTAGATGCAGGGGTCAGGGCCTTCAAAACTGGGGAGATAGTCTACAAGCTTGGACCACGAGGAGGTGTGGGCTTGGGGGTGGGAGGGCTCAGGGTTTTGAGTCCCCACACAAAGACTTAGACGGGGAGTTGAGTAGATTCCGGGGTCCCAGTACACAGGCTTGAGAAGGTCACATAAAAGGGCTTGGAAAGTGAGGGTGTCCAGGTTGAAGGCGAGGGTGTACAAGCTTAGCAGGAGGTTACACAGATTTGGGGGCATAGGTGTGGACCCCTGAGGGTATACGGGCTCTGCGGTCTACAGCCCAGGGTGCGTGGAGCTTAAAAATGGAGGACACAGGGAATGAGGTTGCCCGGGCCTTGGGAGAAGAGTGTGCTGGCCCAGGCATGTGGGGGTACAGGCTGCCGAGTGGGTGGTGTGTGGCAGCTGGGGAACGAGGTGTCCAGGCCCAAGTAAGAAGGTGCGCTGATCCAAGGAAGAGGCCCTGGGTGGAGGTTGTGCGGGCCTGGAGCAGCGCTCTTGGTCTTAGACCAGGCCTTGCGTCCAGCTCACCTTCTCTTCCCCAATCTCCTCTCCCCAGTGCCCCGTCAGGATGCCTCTGGGCAGGGTCTAGAAAGCTTCAAGCGTTCGTAAGTAATCCTGGAGCCTGGGAAGAGGTGGGGAGAGCGGTGTCTCCCATGGGAGGGGGAGCTGTGGGGGAAGGGAGGATCGGGGACAGCAAGGAGTGGGGGCCCAGGGTGGGCCTGAGGGCACAGGACCTTAGTGGGGTTCACACACCCTTTCAATGGCCACAGGGGCGAAAGGAAGTCAGAAGATGGGGGTGAGCTGGATTTCAGCAGCCTGTTGAAGAAGAGGTGAGCTCACCCCACCTGGCACAGAGAGGGGAGATG